TAGCACATCACTTACATTTTTGTCAAATTATATATATTAGACGAGATAACCGAAAAGTACATTGTTCATCTTCAGGGTGGCTTGAAATACGAAAACAAAACAAATCCCAGACAGTCTATAAGCTAGTAGTGAATTGTGTATCTACTAGTAAATGTGGCAGTGTGTTACATGGAACCTAATACATGTTGGAATCAAACTTCGTACCAATGTTGGATGCGAATTGTTCTAACTCATACGATATAAGCACGGGTCATGTATTTGTGTTATATACAGGTTATGAATTCAGATCATATACGGGATATAGAGGGTGCGAGGGCAGTTTGGGAAGTAAAAAGTGGGACAAAAGAAGGGTGGTTGGGGAAAAAAGTGGTTGGAAGAAATGCTTCGCTATTTAATATTAAAATAGAAATATCTATATACCTAATATTAAAGCGGGAAGAGTTTTTTTTCACCCCCTTTCTGTTTACTTTTCAAACTTCTCTTGCGCCCCTCCGTGTCTATCGTATGAGATTGTTAGGACTCATGTCCCATGCTCAACAACTCGTGTCTAGCGATGATACATAGTACAATTTTAAAACATATTAGGTCCCACTTCTTCTTTTTTCTCAAATCACTCTTGCGCCCTCCATGTTTCGTATGTGACTTGACCTATGACCCATGCTCGTACAAGTTAGAACAATTTAGATCTAGATGATATGGAGTATGGTTGTAAGACGTATTAGTATACTTCCTCCATCCACAAAAGAATGTAATTATTGAAAACGTGCCAATCGAACCAGCTCAAGTTTGACCAAGTTTATAGTAAATAGTATTATCATTTATGTCTTTAAAAAAATTATTATAAAAATATATTCTATGACTAATCTAATGGTACATGTTTTGTTTCATAAGTGTTAGTATATTTTTATATATTCTTAGTCAAAGTTTAAAATGTTTGACTCCTCGAAATATGAGAATTGTATTTTTTTCAGACGAGGGACTATATTGTATTTCTTATAGCTTGTAGTAATTGTGAGATGGGAGTAGGTGTGTTATTGCTTTGCTTGTTACCTTTTGTTCTCGAGCCTCGTTTTGAGTTCGCTTTTCAGTTCGTCGACAGTCTTGGCGTCGATATCACCCAGGGAATCCGCTTGGTCGGTGCTAGTTTTCTTCGGCTTCGCGATCTGACGAAGCACGCTCTTGAGCAACCCGTGGAGGTCATTGGCGCTGAATGTCTGCGAGACGGACACTAGCGCTTGTCGGTCGATTTCCGTCTGCAGCTGCCGGCAGACCTCCACTGCCAGCGTTGTCTTCCCGAGCCCTCCGAAGCCCACGATGGAGAACACCTTGAGCTGCTTATCATTCTCGTTGTTATCTTGAAGTTCCTTGACCTTGTTGGCAAAGTCGGTAGCCCGGGCCTTGTTGCCGACGAGGTGATCCTGGTCAGGCTCGCTGGCGCTGTCAGCTCGGCCATCAGCTGGGCGGAGAGCACCCGCCGACGGTGCGCGCACATGGCCTGCAAAAGCAGCAGCAAGAGGGCGGCGCAGTGGCTCCAGGCTGACGCCGTAACTAGCATGCTGCTCATTGATGTCAGAGGCGTGGGCGAGGAGGTCCCTAATGTCGGTGGCGAGGCGGCGGCGAGAGCAGAGGGTGGTGAGGAGACGCTTGCACCAGACGAATAGGTGGTCGCCGGGCCGGGACTTGACGCGGAACAGGTAGAGGTCGACGCAGTCCTCGGCGTCGTAGCCCACCTCCCGCAGCTGCTTCATCCACTCGCGGACGAAGTGTTCCACGGCGTCCTCGTCGGCTTCCGACTGCATGCGGAGGAGGGCGTTGATGGTGGCTAGCTGGTTCCTCAGCCGCGCCACCTCGCCGCCCACGCCGCGGAGCTGCCGGAACTCTGCCCCCACCAGCTGCCCAACATTGCTCACGATGGTCTGCGCAGCGCCCTCCATTATTAGCTAGCTACTTCTCTATCTCTCGATTGGTTTCTCACTCTTCTCACAAGAATGGAACGATTTTGCTCGTATCTTATAGCTAGCTAGCGAACACAAATGGCAGTGTGTGCGCTGGACCTCAAAGCACCTCAAAGCAGGGCTGATCCTTAAATTAAAGGTCATTTGGTACAATCATTAATTATTCTAAGCGAACAAAAGGAGTACACCTATAGAGCTCTATTCTTTTTTGTTTTTTTTCCAACAATTTCCAATATTAAATGCTTTCTAAACTAAAAAACTAGACAGACACGATAATATGAATTTTACTAAAATACATAAAGCACTCGTTAAACTTGTCTCTTGATGTCACCTAGGTCTCTAAACTCTTAAAATGTATTTTTTTTAGGTATTTGAAGTTGTCACAATATGTCATCTAGATCTGAACAAGCTCCAACCAGCCCACGTGTTGGTCTCTAAACTCTAACGCTCTATGTACATGCTCTCCCTCCCTTTTCTTGCTGCATCTCCATGCTCTTCCCCTTCTCTCCATTGCGTCACCGTTGCCAACCCGACTTCCACACTCTATGCCTTCATCATCCTCTACATAAAAAGGGCCATTACATCATCAATACTGGTGGCAACAAGACCAAAGCTAGTGCTTCTTAGGCAGAGGAGGTAGGCGAACGACTGCTCTTCCATTAAGTTTGTTGGCGCCGGAGTGGCTCCGACGCTGGGATCTGGCCGGCACCGGCGAGGTCCGGTGCGCGGTCACCACGGGGAACCGCCGAGAACACACGCGAGAGCACGAGAGTGGACACGAGTTTTTTTCACTGCAAATGGCGCAGCTTTTTTGATGCATTTCATGTTCATATATGCCCGGCGTGATCCGCATCCCCCACCACGACGTGCTGCTGCACGGTGCTCCTTATCTTTCGGAACCCGTGCGACAAGCACGGCGAGCCCGTCATGGCGGGACAGGCATGGTGGGCGCGGTCAAAGCGCAGAACGTGCAAGTCTCCGTTCTGCCCTTGATTCTACGCGCGTAATCAAACATGTTTACAACTGAATTACAATCGTGTAAACTATCCTAATGCACCTACATGCTGATACAAATTTTGTTTGACATGATTACAAAGATGCAGTGCAACAAAGTTCCTTTATTGGCCAAGGATGAGATGTTGATCCAACAACTATGGCATGTGTCATCGTGACGTGGAGTAGGTCGGGTCTTTTAGACCTAAATGACACAATACAATAAGTTCAAGGACTTGAATTACACACTATGGAAAGTGTAGGGACCAAAAAATAGAATTTTTAACGTTTGGGACTGATGATATACAAAGAGAAATTCGATGACCTAAAATTGCATTTTACGAGTTTAGAGACTTGAATGACATGACGGGACAAGTTCAGGGACCACTCATGTATTTTACTCGTGATTTTCCCTTGTCCTCATTTTCTTGTTTCATAGTCCGCATCGCTGTTGTCCACTTGTCGTTACCCCTTCCAACCTACCCGAACCTACCCAAACCGCTAATGGTTTGACTTATATGGATTAATAACAACAAAATTTTCAGGACCTTTTTTTTTATACAAAGGTTATGTGTATATTTTTCTCTTTGAGATTCTCTTGTATTGATATGGAGATAATTACCTAAGCCGAAACATAATAATTCTTTAGAGAGGCTATACATGGTTATTACTTTTTTCCAGCCGGACAATAATGCAAGCATAGGGCAACACATCTCGCGCTAGTGGCCAGCCGGCCATTGTTTGTGGCCTTCGTCCTTGTCAAAACAGGTTTTCATTCTCAATAATTAAATAAGTTGTCACTAATGTAAACAAAAATCTAATGTTGCATGTCACATGAATTATGAAGGGAGAGGCTGAAGAAGTTTTTTTTGTGAATTGCTTGCCTTTCATAAATCAGCCGGCCGAAGCCTCAACCATGATCAAGTCATACACACATGCTGGAGTAACACGCCACACCTCCGAGCAATGTGAAATAGAAACCTGACGAGCTAACAAATGTGCAACCTTATTAGAACTTCTACTAATAAAAGAGAAAGAAAACTCTTGAAAGGCAAGGCTAGTTTCCTCCATCTCCTTCAGAATAGGATCAATGATGGATCTTTGTGACTCCTTCTTCCACAATTGCACAACCTGAAGACAGTCGGTTTCCAAGGCCACCCAACGTAAACCCATCTGTGCAGCAAGCTTCATGCCATCCCTGCACGCCAAGGCCTCCATGGAGCATCAAGACCACGCTCATACCAGATTGCTTGTGCCGAATAGAACGCGCCTTGATCATCTCTGATAATGGACGAGGTTGCTCCTTGCTTGCTTTCTTCAGATAACGCAGCATCCGTATTAATCTTCGACCATCCCACCTCCGGCTTTCTCCATTTATCCCTATTGTATGCTGGAGCTGGTTTGTCAAATTGGTGGCTCAGCTGCCATAAATCATAAGCTGTATCTTTGGCCTAGATCACCGCTTTCTTTGAACCGCATCGTCGACTCTCCATGGCGTCGCCGGTTCCTCAAAGATCCAGAGCGCCCACATTCCAATCATAATCGAGCACGATCTCGTCTTGGGCAAAGCTGTGACATCAAATCAGCAGCCCACGCCTCAAAGATTCGTGCTTGGTAATTTGACCCTGCTGCCCATCTTGTATATTGCCGAATCGCCTCGCCAGACAAAGGTAAGAGTACATGCTCGATCGATTCTTCCGGCTCCCCACGCACCTCACTGAAGGCCTCCGGTTCTATGTGCCTTCGAATAAAATTTGCTTCGTCGGTAGGAATTCGTGCAAAACACGCCACCAGAACACTCTAACTTTGGGAGGGACCTCCAGCTTCCAAATTTTTTTCCATATAGCATCATCAGAAGAGCTAGGTAAATGGCCAAATGATTCTTCCCATTTCCTCCTCAGATATAATCTTGTATGCCGAGCGGACAGAATAAATCCCGAAACGCTCTGGTTCCCACGCCCAAAATCACCATCTCCTCGCCCCAATGGTACGTCGTCATAATATAGTCACTGCATCAATTGGCAACACCAAAGCTCTCACTACCTCAACATTCTAGGATCCGCTAGTTGTCAGCAGTTCAGAAACCAGATTCGGATGCCCGGCAACTCTTGGTGTGATTGGCCTAGCATCAAAGTGGTCTGCTATCCATCGATCACCCCAAATAGCAGTAGAATCTCCATCGACCACCTTTCTGATCAGACCCCGTTGTAGTACATCTAGGCCTGCTAGGATCGCCCTCCACGTACTGCTCGCGTGCTTTTTCCGGGTAGTCCTCAAGAACTCTGTGTCATGATAATAGCGCCCTTTAAGAACTCTCGCACAAAGTGAGTTTGGTCTCGTGATGAGGCGCCAACCTTGCTTTCCAAGCATTGCCAAGTTGAAACTCCTCATGTCCCGAAAACCCATGCCTCCTTTGTGTTTCGGTTGATTAAGACGCTCCCAACTCATCCAATGCATGTGTCGGTTATCAGCAGAGCTACCCCACCAATAATTGGCCACAGCACTTCTCATCTTGTTGCATATATTGAGAGGTAGAAGAAAGCAACTCATAGAATAAGTGGGTACCGCCTGGGCAATTGATTTAATCAAAACCTCTCTACCTGCACAACTTGCCTCACGTCCGCACCAACTTTCAATTCTACCTTTCACCTGGGATGGCAGGTATTCAAAACAGTCGCTCAAATTTCTTCCTGCCTCCGTGGGTAGTCCCAGATAGCGTTCAGCCAGGGCTTCCTTTTGGATATCAAGCCTCTGACTGACCACTTGCTTCATCTCCGCAGGACAGTTTTTGCTGAAGAATATGGCTGATTTATCCCGATTTACCAACTGTCCGGATCCACGATGATATATGTCCAGAATCTCTACCAGTCTGTCAGCCCCTCCTTGCGATGCTTCAGAAAATACTATGCAGTCATCCGCAAAGAGCAGGTGCGATATCCAGGGGGAGTGAACTCCAACTCTTATACCCCTTGATATGTACACTGGACCAACAACTTTCAGCATACAAGATAAACCCTCAGAGCATAGCAAGAATAGGTATGGGGAAATGGGGTCCCCTTGCCTGATTCCTCTAGATGGTCTGAAGGTATCAGTCAATACGCCATTGATTTTGATAGTGAAACAAACTGTTGTTACACACCTCATAATACGGTTCACAAAATCAGCATGAAAACCAAGTTTTAGCATGATCCTTCTAAGATACTCCCACTCTACATGATCATACGCCTTGGCCATGTCCAATTTTACAGCACACGCACCAGATTTCCCTTTCTTCCTTTTCAGATAATGGATGCACTCATAAGCTATGAGTACATTGTCTGTTATCAAGCGTCCAGGCACAAAGGCGCTCTGCTCTTCTACAATAATATAATCTAAGAATTCACGCATTCTCATAGCTAGAACCTTTGAGCATAACTTGTACAGAACATTACATAAAGAAATAGGTCTAAATTCTTTCATAACCTGAGGATTTCTTGTCTTGGGAATTAAAATAATGGTAGTAAGGTTAATATCATCCGGCATACCTCCACCATTGAGAAAATCCAACACCGCTGTTGTGATCTCGTTGCCCATCAAATCCCAGTGTAACTGGTAAAAGCCAGCTGTAAATCCATCTGGCCCCGGGGCTTTGCTCGGCTTCATAAGTTGCAAAGCTTGCTCAACCTCCACAGCTGAGTAGGGCCGTAGCAGCCGATCATTCATCTCAGTCGAGACCTTGGGAACGACGTGATCAAGCACCAGGTCCGGCAACAACTCTTCCTGGGCCAAGAAGAGTTGGCGGTAGTAGTTAGTAGCGATCTCCTCTATTTCCGCCTGCTCCGTTGCCATCGACCCATCTTCTCTTCGTAGAGCCATAATTGTATTCCTCTTGGCCCGTGCTCGTGACTTGGCTTGAACCATCGCCGTATTGCGGTCTCCATCCTTAAGCCAATCAAGACGCGCTCTCTGTCTTTCCATAATTTCTTCTCTTGATAGCATTTCAGACATCCGCGCCATAATTTGTCGCTCGTGTCTAGAAGGTCCCGAGCCCAGCGATTGCCCTCGGACTTCCTCCAGCTCACGCCTAAGAGTTGCCAACGCCTTCCGCACCGAGCCAAAGATGTCCTGCTCCCAGGTCTGTAGCGAGGACTGCACACCTTTCAGCTTTGTGTGCATGTCTCCCAATCCAGTAGCTCCTCCATTCGATGACCAAGCATCACGAATAAGAGCCATGTAAGAAGGGTCACGCTGCCACATGTTTTCATAGCGAAAATTTCGCTTTCGTCTTCTCTTGTTCAAGGAGTGTTCCAAGCATTCTACCACCAGTGCACAGTGGTCTGATATTGTCGTTTGAACGTGCCAGACCTTAACTTCGCGGAACAAGTCAAGAAAGTCATCATTTGCCAACCCCCGGTCCAACCTAACCTTTATGTTGTGAGCATCATCTTGCCGGTTGTCCCAGGTGTACGGTAGACCAATGAAGCCTAGGTCCGTGAAGCCACACACTGCTACTGCTTCTCAGAAACCCTCCATCTGCCGTTCACTTCTTCCAGCACCCCCAAATTGCTCGTTGGCATGCAAAGTCTCATTGAAATCCCCTACACAGAGCCATGGCAGTGAGCCGCGACCCTTGAGCATCTTAAGACAATCCCAACTCCTATATCTTAACTCTCTCCTCGCCTCACCATAGAAACCAGTGAAGCGCCACTTTTCCCCTTTTGTCATTGGATCAAGCACCGCCACATCTATATGAAGCTTGTCAAGACTTTGGAGCTTTACACAAACTTCATCTTTCCACAACAGTGCAAGTCCGCCACCTCTTCCATTGGTTCCCACGCCTAAACCATGCGCAAAACCAAGTGATCTTAACAAAACATCCACCCTATCCGAGAAGAAACGAGTCTTAGACAAGAAAACCACCACCGGGCGATGTAGCTCACAAAGGCTACGGAGGTCGCGAACTGCCTCGGGTTGCCCTAAACCCCGGCAGTTCAAGCTTAATATTTTCATTGTGCCCGGCGGGGACTACCACTTGCAGCCGCCACCGATCATGCATTTTGTGAAGTTGTGCCTCTCTTCTACTTCTTCAGCATTTCCACCATACTCTCACCGCTTTTTTCAGAACCTCCATCTAGCTGGTTCAATCTTGAACTCACAAGGCCTACCGGAACAATGGCATTAGAAGCCTCAGCCGGTACATTAAGGTCTGGGGTCTGCAGGTTTTGGCCAGCCCCCTTCGACTTGCGTTTCCGGGGTAGCCTGGTATCCATGACCGGCTGGCCTTTCCCTGCAGTTCCCTCTGTATTCCTCTTTTTCAACGGTGACTGAACTTCTCTTTCTTCTAGATTTTCCACTGGTTCTGAAGCTGAGAACCGGGATTCGTCTCCTAGAGACGATCGGTCAACACTAGAACGACAATGATCGTTGGATGGCCTGTACGTCGAGGAGCCGCTACCAAAGGACTTAGCTGTAGCTCCCGCGAAGGACTGTACTCTTCTCCTACGTTCCTCCGGTGCTCTCAGAGGGACATCATAAGTTAGTTTGCCGAACTCATTACGTGGTGCCGGGTGTGGGCAATCGATCTCTGTGTGACCCATTAGACCACATGAGAAGCAGTAATAAGGAAGACGTTCATACTGCGCCTCAAACCACTTTGGCTCCTCCGTCTTGCTCATTCTCAGGAGCACACCCCGACGAAGGGGCTTGTCTAACTCAATAGCAACATGAGCCCGCAGGAAGGCCCTGCTCACCTTCCCATCTCCATCGACGTCCATTTTCACAACATGGCCGATCAGGCTCATGGCCCATGTTCCCCGCTGCTGGTTCATCCAACCTAGCGGGAGCTTGAGGATGCGCACCCAAATCTCCATGCGATCAAAGATGATTTCATCAGCACTAAGTCTTTCATCATAAGGCTTGAGAACTACCGCATGCCTTCCTACCATCCATGGGGTCCCCGCAAGGATCCTCTCCATATCGGCCTTTGAACCAACCTCAGCGACGAACATGTTGTCCGCCTTCTCTCCTATAGCTCGGATCTTTAGGCCAAAAGGATTGCCCCAGGCTGGCTTCATCGCCGCCCGGATCGTATTGATATGTACTGCCATGGGTGAGAGAACCTTCCCCACCACTGCCCACTCCGTCAGAGGGAGATCATCAATCTACTCATCATCACTGAAATCTACTACCGCTCCTTCTTCCTCTGTTAGATTAAGGCGCTTTAGAAGATCAGAAACACTCGGACTAGGGTTTCCATCCCCGCCGAAAGGAGCCTTCCCGGTCCCCTTACTTCCACCCCCATCCGACGCCATCAAGGCAATAGGATCAGAGAGGAAAAACAGCAGCGATCAGTACGCCAGCGAGTGCCGGCGCGATCGCAAAGCCCAGCGAAGCCCTAAGCGGCGCTTACTACGGAACTATGTGGTCGGCGGTGCCAGGACGGCTAACCGATGCTTTGCGGAGGCCGGCAACGACCAGCGATCGTTGGCGGGGCGTGGACACCAGCAATCGAAGGGATCACCGGTGGAGCAGTCCAGATCGTCGAGGAGACGGTCTAGAACGGGGCTGGGCGAGAATTCGCTCTCAGAATCACCAAAGGAGGGGACCGGGAATTACGGATCTCCATCCTGCATACGCACACGACTGGAGGCTGAAGAAGTTTTGTCTAGATAAGTTGCTTGTATTACTGTTTTTCAAAATATGAAAACCTTCCACCACACTGTTGTTTTAATTCATGATTTTCTTATCCCGTGTATCGCCCGCCTAGGAAACATCAAACTAACACTACTACGGAGAAAAATTTTCGCAGGCGGGCAAAATAGATTTTTCGAGGCGGGCAACACGCCCACCTGCCTCGAAAGGTCTGCATTAATCAAAATAACACAGGTGGCCGTGTTGCCCGCCTGCGTTAATCAAAATAACAAAGGCGGGCACAATGCCTGCCGGCGTAAATAATTTCATGAATTAAAAAAAAGCCCACCGAACTCGGTTCCACGCGCCACCGGGATCTGACGTCGCTGGGAGCTGCCTCTCGCCCTTGCGCCGCCTAGGAGCTGCCACCGTCGAGCCCATCATCCCCTCGCACACCGTACGTGTCCCAGCCGACGGATCCGGCCTCCCCGAGCATGCCGCCGACGGACCTGGCCACCCCGAGCACGCCGCCACCAGATCCACACACCTGTAACCAAAACCATGTGCCCGCAGATAGATCCGCTCACTCGCAGCCAATCGACGCGCCTACAGCCAGATCCACGCCCTCGCGACCTCCGGTTGTCGGATCCGCTACGGGAGCCGGGAGAGCCAACGGTGTGAAGCCGCCTGCACGCGCCGCCGGCCTGATGAGGTGGCACCCGCGCCGCCGGCCCGCTGAGGAGGAGGTGGCGGCGCCCTCCTCAGTGTGCGCGCATGGCCCACATCCTCGGTGTGTGCGCGGTCCGCTCGAGGAGGAGGCGGCTGGGACGCAGAGAACAGTGAAGCGAGGGAGAAAGGGAGAGATGTGCCGCGCTGGTGAGAGGAGAAAGGGAGAGAGCTAACTGAGATGGGCTAGGGTCTCAGTTCGCATATATATACTGTGAACCCTGTTCTCGGGCCGAGATGGACTTTCCCCAACAGTTTTTGGGCTCGCCCACATTAACACAGACGAGCCTCTTAATAGTTCCACCTATGAAAATAGCCTCCATTTTCAGAGGCGGACCTCTTAAGAGGCCCACCTCCGTAAATCAATTTTAGGAGGCAGTCATTCTGTGACCACCTCCGTAAATGCATTTTGTGTGATGGTCAATTGTGACCGCCTT